TTTCCTTCCCAAGCCCTGGGAGTTTTGAACTTTCTGTGCTGACATTGACCCTCAAAAAAACACTGCTTTATTTTCTTTTTTTTTTTTTTTTTTGGGACTTGAGGCCTTGGAGAAGGTTTCCAAATTTCACTAATGGAATTAGAATCACGAATAGAATAATTGAATAGAAGTGTGTGTGATATCCCATGGTGAAAAGTTTGGAATTTGGGGTTTTTACAATATATTAATAGGTATGGGACAAGATGGAAATTCTTAAATTCTCTTTTTTCTTTTTTTGTTCCTTCCTCTCCTTAGTTTTAAGTTGTAGTTTTTGGTTGGATGGAAAATCCCACAGTGCAGGTCACAGGTGTTTATTCATTGAGTCAAAACTATAAATAATATAAATGTTAGCTTTTAATTGAATAATTAGGCCTTAAAAGACCTTTTAATGAGCAAGGGACTCCTCCATTTTCTCGCTTTTAATTTGTTAGCTGGAAGTGCCAAAAACTCGTTGTACTATAGATAAAAAGTAATTAAAAATTAATTAAAAAATTAATAAAAGTTAAACAAGTGAGTCCAAACACAAATATCCGTCCCTCATGCTTCAATCCTAACTCTGAGTGGAAAAAACACCGAAAAACAAACAAACAAAACCACCAAAAAACAACAACAGGAAAAAAAAACAAAAACCCAAACCAAAACAAAAAAAATAAAAAAAAAAACCCCAAAAAAACCCCAAACCAAAACAAAAAAACCCAAAACCAAACCAAACCAAAAAACCCCCCAAAACGACAAAAAACCCCAAAAAACAAAAAAAAAACCCCAAACCCAACATAAAAAACCCCCAAAACCCCCAAAGAAACAAAACAAAACAACAAAAACCCCAAAAAACAAAAAAAAAAAAAAACCCAAACCCCAAACCAACCAAAAAAAAAGAAACCCAAACCAACCAAAAAAACCCAAAAAACCCCAAAACCCCCAAAACACCCCCCCAAAATAAAATAAAAAAAAACAACAAAAACCCAACAAAATACCAACAAAAAAAACCCAAAAAACCAAAAAAAAAATCCCCAAAAAACCCAATAAACCCCCCTAAAAAAAAAACCCTGAAAACTCAGGAATATCCCAAAGGGGTCTGGAGCTGCAAATCCCTGATCCCAGGGGGATTTTAGGGTTTTTTTTTTTTTTTAGGGGATTTATGGGAAAACCTCTGGAGCTCTGCCCCAGCTGGGCCAGCCTGGCCTGGCCTTTATTTGCCCGATAGGGTTGTGCCAATATTTAGAATTATTTCTAAATATTTCTTGATTGGGATCCCTGCAGGGGACACTGGGGACATTTCCCATTGCACTCCCAGCTCTGGAGTTTCTGGAATTCTCTTTTTGTGCTCATGGGAATTTCAGAATTCCAGCAGGGAAAAAATTCTGGAGCTGCAGGGGAAGTTTTGGGGGTGAAGCCTGGGACAGCTCAGCCTTCCTGGGATCTGTAAAAAAAAAAAAAATAAAAATATCTCAAAAAACTCCCAGATCCTTCTGCTATCGAAATAAAATAAAAGGAAAAATTATATCTTATACAAACCCATCTTGTATTCCATAAATTTATTCCATAAATTATTCTCCAGGCTTTGGAGAATTCACAAGCCAACAGATTCGATGGAAAAACAAACAAAAAAAAATTGGAAAACTGTGGGAAAATGCTCCTTAATTCCCTTTTTTTCTTTTTTTTTCTTTGTGTAAGGAGGGAAAAAAGGAGCACAAAAATCATCCAGGCCACATCTGAAATAGAAAAATTGAAATATTCTTATAAAATATAGCCAGGAGACTGAGAGATGGATAAAATCCTTTATTATTTTACTTTTTTTTGGACCTTTCCATTTATTCCAGAAAAACTTCTTTTTTCTCTCTCTCTCTCTATATATATATATAAAAAAATCATGACTTCTTTCTGAATAAATCTTTAAAATCATTTATTTTTAAATGGTTCTTTCCTTTGTACAGCACTAGTTAAATAGATTTATTTTCTGTTTTCTGCCAACGAATCTCCCCCCCCCAGAGAACATTCCCAGTTTTGGGGATCCATCCTGGCCCCTTCCATCGATTTTTCCTGCTGGAGGATGAGGAGGATGCTGAGGATGGAGGAAGGCAATGAGGAAATGTGGATTTTTTTATTTTTTTTTTTTAAATTGTTCGTGCTCAGCCCCGGCTCACAGGGACACCCAAAATCCAATTTTACACCATTTGAGAGTACAGATGTGCAGCACAGCTGGAGATCAGGTGGAAAAAAAAAAAAAAACCCAAACAAAACATTGGAAAAAAAACCTTGGGAAAATACCCTTAAATTCCATTTTTTTTTCCCCCAATTTGTGTGCAAGGAAGAAGGGGAAAAAAAAAGCCTTTATTTTGTCCCAAATCTCCAAAATCCAGGAGTTTTGTTGTTTAAATTCTCCACATGGATGTGGCTGGTGAAATTCCATGTGGGAATGGAGGGATGGGAAGGAATGGAACAGCTCTGCCTCCAAGTGTTGTTGTCATCCCAAACCCTGACCTTGCTCTGTAATAAATTGATTTATTTCTATTCCTTTACCCAACCATAAAATACCCAACAAAAGAATACCAGGAATTCAGTTTGTCCTGAGGG